GTCCAAAATTTTAATGAACACATTAATATCATGAAGATGTTGAAGACCTGTGGAAAATATATTTTAAATTCATTAATTTCATCTAAGTTTATTAAGTGTGAAATGGAGGCACTGGGGACTTGTCTTCCACAAGTGCAAACATTTTAAGAATCTCTTAATAGCAAAAGAGCTGCGTTAATGAGACAGGTCTGGTACTGTATATCTTTAAGTAAAATTAGCACTGCAGCTCAGTGAAATCTAATGCTAGTTTCCTGGTAGGTTTATTTTCAGAACTAGAGCATTGTGCCAGATTTTTTCCTGCCCAGAAGTAAAGACAAAATATCATCTACTTTATTAATGTGTCGTTATTTTACATAAGATTTAATCTCTTCTAATAGGTGTTCAGTCAATAACATCTGACAATAGGAGCAGACAGTGGCATTACTAATGGGTACTATGACTTAGTAAGAAACTTTGATGATGTAGTAAGAAACAAATAATGTTTGCAAGACAAATGCAGACTATGCAGTTATTAAACTGTTTTACAAAGGTATGCAACAGATTGTTGAATTATTTTTTACAGTAAAGATAGAATATAGAATTGGGTTTGTTCACACTCATCAACTAGTTATTTATATTTCTGATGATAGGTATATTAAACACTGCAGATTGATGTAATTTGTGGACTAACTGTTATGACCAAGCATGGCACCCGCCACTAATTGAACCTCGTCACCTCGTTAATCTATCACACCTGCCTCCTTTATATCCCAAATTCCCACATTTTGGCCATCGGAATTCACGCCTCTCGGGCTGTCCTTTTCAGACTTGTTTGCCTTCAAGAATACCAACATGCGCCGCATAAGGTCCTGCTTGTTTATCGGCGTTCAGCCCTAACATAACACTGTGAAATAGTCAGTTTCTTTCTTTTTCTTCCAACATATTGAGTTGTACTATATGTTCATGTATGTAAACTCGAAATCTAAAAAATAAAGAAAAAAATGTAAAGCCATCATTTTGTGGAGAATGATGCTTAATATCTATAAATTAAAAAAAAAACCTTAGAAAGCTTAAAACAATCACCACTGCTGTTGAGTTATCTAAACCAGTCAGGTTAATTTCAGTCAGGAATTGCAGCCTGGACTGGACTCTTCTCCCACACAGCATCCACAGAACAGAAAGAAAGTCAAGGAGGTGTACAGACTGTCCCACAAAATGCTACAACTTCTTGCAAAAATAATAACACTACTTACTTTTTTTTTAAATCGACATCTTCTAAAATCGCAACATTTAATATTGAATCAACCCTTGCAACGTTCTAGAGCAATACTGTGAACGACACATTTGTGAAACTAATTACACACCCCATGGGTCTTATAATAGAAGTTGTTATGAATACGGTGTGAAAAGTCGACGGTGTAGGAATAAGCACTGACACAGCAGTGTGCCTGCTTACTGGACGAAGTCAAACAGTCAAACTGTGAAGTAAGATTTCATTTATCATTGTGCAGTGACAACTTACTTTGAAGAAAACCACATGAGGAAACAAAAACACTTCTTCAACACGCATTTTTTTAAATGAGCAACTATGCACCTATAGCTGTCGAGGCGGAAGTGGGAATCAAGATGGAAGGCGATACAGCCATACCGCACTTCTGACACCGGTAGGAGCAGGTGAGTATTAACAGTGCTTGACAATGTGAACAGGTGCTTAAATGACCGGCAATCCCTTTGATATCAGTGATGCAATGTTTCTATTAATATCAAATCGGCATCGGATTTTCATTTCAAAAATGTCTCACTGTGGACCTCTTAGTATTAAAAGCAACAAGGCAAGCAAAAGTCACTGAGGCTCAAACACAGAAGGATGATAGATTGAAGGTTAGATTAAATTAGAATAATGGCTCTGCCATAGCCGGGCGCAGGACATAGCGACGGCAGTGTATTAATCCATCCATTGAATGTAATAATTCATTGCAATTAGATAGAGCTTTTCATCCCAAAAGCTCCCAATGTGCTTTCGGGAGCAGAAGAATTTTCTTCGAGCAGAGGCAGATCCACGTCTTCTCCCACGGACGTGAAACACCCCCATGGTGGAAGCTTGGCTGGCCCTAAGCAGCAGGAGTCCCAGTACAGGGCAGTTCAGGGAGTTCAATTAGAAATTGCTTGGAGTAAGAGACAGCTTTAGGCAGGCAAGTAAAGAATGAATGTTAAGCAGAAGACCATAGTTAACATCCATAATCCTAACAGACAGGATGTAGTAATCCAAAGAATATCTCCAACTACTGCACAGTGTCTTTGGTCACCATGACTCCAAGGGAAGAGTGCCATCTACTGGTCTACGGCATCAGCGTTGCTTTGAGGGGGGGATTAAGCCACCTCACCAGACAATCAGTCCACCTTGCATGCAGCACTGGCTTCCCACTCAGGTCCGCCTCCAGCTGCTGACATCTCTTGCTTACACCACTAGGCTGGGTCACACACTCACAGCTGCTCACGCAGAGGATTTCTGTTTACCAACCAGTCCATCTTGCACCGTGTGTCTGCAGCCCGTCAGTCAATACTGTTTGGTTGGTCCCTTCACCCCCACTCTTTTCAAGAAAAATCCTGGGATTTTTAACAACGAGAGAGAGTTAGGACCTCAGTTTTACATCTCCTCTGAAGGACAGCACCTGTTTACAGTATAGTGTTACCATCGCCATACTGGGACGTTATGACCCACACAGACTTAATGCAGGGTGAGCGCCCCCTACTGGCCCCTCTAACACCTGTTCCAGCAGCAACCTTAGTTTTTCACAGGAGGTCTCCCATCCAGGTACTGACCAGGCTCACACCAGCTGAGCTTCAGTGGGTTTTTAGCTGTGAGCTGCAAGGTGATATGGCTGCTGGCTGGGGTACACCCTGGATGGGAATCCTGTCCATCGCAGGGCTCACACAGACATCACTGGCACCAGAGCCAGTTTTCCTAGAAGCCAATGTACCCACCAGCATGTCTTTGAGCAGTGGGAGGAAACCTACATGAGCTGAATCCAGGGCCCCAGCGCTGAATGGCAGCAATGCTAACCACTGGTCAATTTTATGCTTATAGATTGACTCTTGCTTTCAATGTCATGAATTCCAGTTTTTTTACTCTGGCAGTTGAAATTCAAAGGATGCCATTAGGAACACCAGAGAGGTCACAGATGTAAGAAAGTCTCGTGGCCTTTCAAGCACTTCTGGGTCCATGTCTCAATTGGCCCATAACCAATACTGGTTGCATCTTGCCCAGCCTCTGGTTACTTTCCTCCCCTCTTGGTAGATCACGGCTCAGGTCTATCAAGTCAAGGACCACTAGATTTTGTAACGGCATCTACCCAGAGGTAGTGAGATGCATATTTTTTGCAGGGCTCATTGTTATTTTGTCGGGTCTCACTGTGATTTGTTTCATTACTGATGTGTGTTTAAGGTGGATTAAGTATTATATTAAGTAATGTACTAAGTGGATGCTGTCTATTATCAGCTTTATGTTGTATATTCGTATTACATGTCTGTATGAGCTATGTATGAGCTCACCAAGCCGAATTCCAATAAATTAGTTTTTATGGCAATAGAGTATTGAACGGAACATGCAAAAAATCCCTCTCCCCCTTCCAATAGTTACAATGCAGAGCTCCCAGTCAACACTAACCTGAATATCTAGGAAGAAACCAGAGCAAGAGCAGCCGATCACATCTGGCAAAAACCCAGAGCAGGCAAAACTTGCACACACACCTATTACAGCCAGGATCTTGGCGATATGGATCCCCACCCCACTCTATGGTCAAATGCTGTTTCACATTTACAAACCATAACATTAGCTGTAGGGTTTTTGTTTTGGGGGGTGTAATGATACCAACTACCCGCTAATATCAGATATGTATTGTGGCGCCCTCGCCTGGCGTTGCGGCCGAAGAGCGCCCGGCTGAGATGAGCGGCGAGGGGCAGGACGGGAGGAGGAGCCACAGGGGGTTGACCTTCTGGTGCGGTTGCACATTATTGTGGGCTGTTGGGTTACCATATAAAGTTATCGCCAGTTTACACCTTTTTCTACCTGTACCCACTTAACCACGCTATCACTATGTACCTGTACCCCGAGTGACCCTATTGTGTCATAGCCCTCTGTCGTTGCTGCTGTGCCGGCATTAAAGAGCCGTTTCTATTCTGAAAGAACCTTAATTCCTGTCTGCATCCTCACCAACTCCGTCTCACTACAGTATTTACAAAATAAGTGAGAATTAATCACTGACGCTTTCATTGCATTGCCATGCTTTAATAAACTGTACAGCACCTGAGAAAAGATATCTGCCTTTCCGGTCAGTTTATACATAATACCGTGGAGAACAATATAAATCGGAAAACAGGAGTTGGAAGTAGTTTCACTAGTCCACTAATTCATATCTTGAGTGTCTGCTGCACAGTCGATTTAAAACTTTCAAAATCGACCCAAACATAAGACTGTATTTAGCAAAAATAATTATTTCTACCACAAAATGAGTCAACACGATTAAGTCCATCTAGCCCAATGGATGATCCCATTTCGAAACGTGAGTGCCTGGAGTAAACGACTCGGACTGCAGCATTACAAAATCTGAAGTACGCTCACGGAAAGCATCGTTCTGAGAATTAAATTACTGTTAAAAAAAAGAAGTAACAAAATATCAGATGGGGCTGCACATTGGTGGTGGTGGAGGGGAGTCCTCATTACCTGTATAACGCTTTTAGTGGAGCGTCCAGAAAAGCGCTATATAAGTGTAAGCAATAATAATTATTATTATTAGCTCAAGTGGTCAAGTGGCACGCCACCGGAAGTGCACATGAACAATTCTTTTCAGGACATATTCAAACACAGACGTTTTTCTTCTTCTAATGTGGGATACACCAACTTTATCACGGTCCTAAACAAAGTCCGGATGAGAGGAAACCATCTTCCTCCAGCCTGCGTTCTCGCATCACGTCTCTCTCATAAGCAACCTAACGAAGCTCTCGCGAGGAAACGTCTCTTCCATGTTGCCACGTTCCCAGTGCTGGCAAAAGAAAAAATGGTGGGAAAAAACACTACAAGGCGGATCTAACCTGCGGCAATCCACACGCTTCAGTAGAGCAACCGCCTCTTCCGCGATTGGATTCGGGCGTCGGTCTCTCCGCCTCCGAAAAGATTTAGCCAGCTTTCGGTTGGAGGGGCGTGGAGTCACTCAAAAAAAGTAAACGGGTTGCGGTGGTGAGGGCATAGGGATTTGATTTTTTTTTTCTTCCCTGGGATTCACTGGGGGCAGTGATCGAGGAAGTTAGGGAGACTGAGCGTGCAACTTAGGGTTTATCTCAGAGACGGAAAACAGTTTTTAATTGCCATGGCCACCAAGAAAAATGCAAAGGGACACACGCCAAAAAAAGGTCAGTGTTTTTAATATGGTCTTTCTTCGGGTTACGTGCAACCTTCTGTACCGGTGCAGAAGGCCTATTACATTAATCGGGTCGATACATATTTTGTATTCGCTCATGCATGCGGAAACGTTCGAGATAATCCGAAGCAGAATGAGCGAGGTCTAATGTACCCCCTCCCCCCGGGGTAATACTGAATGCGTCGTTTAAATTCGCGATAAAGATATCATTTGAAGGTAACTGCAACAGCACACGCCGTAATGTGTGGTGCTAGTCAGGGTAGTTTTGTTATGTATTATTTACGCTCCTTGCAGTATTCATTCTAAAAGCCAGTGCCAGTTGCCTCGCTTGTGTTTGGAAACTAAAAATATTAGTTTTTTTTTTTACTTTTATCTCACATTTTACATTGTAACCAACCTCATCTAAAACGCCAACAAGAGTTAAACATGAGGCATGGAAGTAAAATTTTTTGCAGGTAGTGGATGTTATCCCCTCTCCTGATCCAAAAGGCTTTTTGATTTTAAAAAAAGAAAAGGCTGAGAAATTGTGGCGTGCACTTTCAGCCCAAGTAAAAGTGGAACCCTTGTGCGAGAACAAATTGCGTTACATAAGGTAGCTGGGGCGGACTCGGCGGAGAGGCGTCCTGGTTTTGATTAGAGTCAGTTGCCCGGGGGGCCACGAATTGTCTCTTCAAAAGATCCGCCCAGCAGGATGAAAGCTGCTCGGCATTTCTTTCGCGTTTGCTGTCGCTTTTCCTGAATGCTCACGTGTCACACAAAAAAGAGGGACGATGGGAGGGGGGTTACACGTGGCTACTATCGCAGTTCAAACGGAGGACCCCCGACAGGCGGGGAAGGGGGGGGTGAGATTTCAATTATCCAAATCCACACCTACGATTTCCCGCTTCCAGAGTTGGAGGAACAGTGACCAGATGCCGTTTTACGTTCTCGCATCCGTGTGCACACGTGTGTTTTGCATTCCCTTGCTACAAAGTTCACCTCGCAGGCCTGCCAAGTTTGCCGGATCTGGCATGTGGAGAGCGGACGTGTAGGGCCCTGCTAGATGGGGCTAGATTATTGGTTGATTTAATACTCCAGCCTTAAATGCACATAAGACACCTTCAGAAGTTAAATTTAATAAGAGCCATGAAAGGTTCACCAGACGTTCATATATCATATGTAGTCCTTTTAGCATCTTTTACTTTTTGGGGAGTTCATTTATAGCTCGCCCTCATCTTGGAAATTACTTGAGACTTGTTTTAAGACGGGAAGATCTATGAGCTACAGCTTACAAAAATGCACCAGGGATCTCCAGTCACCCTAATTGTTTAGATCACCATAAATTTGAGGATTGGAAACAGAATATAAGGGCAAACAATCTGCAGCCATTCAGTGCATCCTGGTCGTTTGGCCACAACCCCCTGGCTAGAAAACCTGTTCTAGATACAGCTATGTGTGGAAAGAAGCATTTCCTGTTCCTTGTACCAAATTAGTTTCCTTTTAGTTTCCAGTGTCCTTGTGTCCTTGATTTGCGAGTATCCTTGGCTGACCCCATCTATACCTGAATCAAATCTCCTGTGTCCCTCTATTGTGACTGGAGAGATGTAGCCTCTTTAACCTGGACTCATCCTGTTTTTCGTCTTCTTTGACCTCTGTCTAAAGCTCTGTCTCTGTGGTATGGTAACTACACTGAATGATATTATAATGGAGGTCTTCCTACTACTTTCTTTAAAGCTTGAGTATAATTTTCCTGAATCTAAAATAAACACTTTCATATTAAATCATCCGCCTTTTACTTGTGTGTTATTGATCAATTAAGGCCAGTTCAACTAGGAGAGCTGTTGTCCCTCAGGGCAGGTGATTTTAGTTTCAAAACATCTGCAGATTGCTTCCTTTAACAGGTCATTTGCAGTTGATCACATGCAAATGTTTTCCAAGTGTTTAGAAATTGGTAATTTGTTATGTTAAAAACTCTAATCCAGGTTTTATAGAAACAGGGTTGGATATGCTGGAAGAAGTCTCTGAAGTGTATTCACAAGTATTTGTATGTGGTGCTTCACTGAAAGTATTGATTTGGTGAATGTGTCACAATATGTTCAGGCCATCATAAATTGTTAGTCTTAATGTTTCTCATAAAATCTTAATGATCAGTGACATTAATATTTTAGTCGATGGAATTGTATGTAGCCATAGTTATACTAAATTGGGTATTTCCTCGGAGTCAGAAATGTCTTGTTCATTTATGCCCTTGGTCATCATTGATCCAGTGGCACTGCTTGATGCATATGGGCGTTACCCCATTGTCTTGGTCGAAGTCCACTGTAGGCCTGGACAATTTAAAGCTCCAAACAATATTTAAAGCTCCTCCTTATTTAAATTGGTGAAGCAATTCCTAACTTCCTAAGCTGCTACTGTGTAGTAGGGCTGCTGCCATACATCAGCTAAGTTACTAGTAGATAAACTGAGTTCCATTTGTAAAGTGCTTTGGGATCATCTGGGGTGAAAAGTACTACATGAATTGCGTTGAAAATTTTTGGGACCATCGATGAATTAAATTGCTTACCTCTGCACGAAGGGCAGGTGTCAAAGCTGGTGACTTCTTCGGATAGAACAGTTTACTTAAATTTAACATGTGGTTTGGTAGTCCAGGAATAGTACTAGTCATGCGGTGTGAAACTAGCCCAGTGTGCTGTATTCCTTTTCACTCTTTCCCAGTCTTGTAATTCTGGACTGAAACCACATGCAATACTGTGATTGCTGTGATACTGCTTCTACAGTGAAAATATAAAATGTTCCTCAAAATAGCAGAAGGATGGGAAAAAACATATAATTAACCCAGAAGGCATTTTCTTGTTTAAACATGTCGATTCATGTTTTGGAAAGATGTATAACCAGTTATAGTTATGACAGAGATGAGAAAAATATTCTGGCTTGCAGAGTAATATTCAGTATAATTTGTTACTTTTTTAACCTTTAAAAACGTTTTTAGTAACACTAAAGACTGATTTACCTTGATTAAGGAAGTACTGAAGGATCATTTGTTTTACCTTTCCATGTGATTCCTGCTTGATTCATCCGTAAGTGTAGTGTTATTGTTAAATCGTATTTCTAAATCTTGGCACTGTTACAGTTTTATCTAGCTGATGCCTGACAACTATACACCTTAAAACGTTAAACCATATCGGTTTCTTTGACATTCCCATGCTAGTCTAGCTTCCCCCTAATTTGCAAGTGTGAGAATCTTTTGTGTTAACAAGGTTAATTAACCATCTGCATTGCTCAAAAAGATGGCACTGAATTACACTGACTTTGTGTGTGAAACCGTATCTACAGCTTCTCTCTTCATTTGGCCGGACATTGAAGTCTGCAGTTAATGCTATTTGTTTCCTCTATGCAAAAGACGACCTTAGGTTTGTTTTTTTTGTTTTTCCTGTTGATGCTGAGTAGAACCATCTCTGGCAGCCTGAAAGAGCTTCACTCTCACTCTTACTTCTGTCATCCACTCTGTGAAGATTGATTGTTTATTCTGTGTTGGGGGGGAAGAAATGAGTTTTTTATGACGAGAGTCCAGAGGCCCAGATCCCACCCAAAGGCTTTGCAGTACTGTCATGACTTAGCCACTGTTGGTCACACCATTGTAAACTTTGGTCCAAGTGAAAATTTGTTTGTGACTCCCAAGCACATAGTCTCGGAGAGGGGATGTAAGTGACAGATCCTGATTAGTGATCACGGCTGCAGTGTGTGAATGCATTACTGATATGCTGAATGTGAATAAACAGGTTCTTTTCAAGCTTGGGTGTCAGTTTTCTAGGTTCATTCCACTTTTCTTTTGCCTTCTGGCACATTGAAAGCAATTCTGAGTTAAAAGAGTTTATTTAATATGTTTTCCTACTTTTTAAACTGCTTAGTTTACCTTAATGTGTTATCAGTGGGTGATATGCTTGAAAAAATCCATCACAATATTTTGTCTATTGCAGATGATATAGGTTCCAGTATTCATTTATTCTATTTTTATTTCCTCTCAATATATATGTAATAACCTTGCTGAATTATCCAATCCCTTCCAATAAGATCAGCTTTGGCTGAATTGCAAATTTGTATTTCCATTTTTAATTAAAACCTGAATGCTCCAACTAAACACCTGTGAGAAAGACAGAAGTTAAATGTCGGCAAATGCTGCAAACTAATTCAAAAACCAAGATTTCTTGATTGTACAAACACTCATCTTCTTTTCTGTGGCAAACTTAAATTAAGTTAAGGTGCACAAAAGTAGTTTGAAAAGTCATGCAGTTAGTAAAATGGCTCTTTGAGCCAGCAGCCATATCACCCTGCAACTGGTAATCCACTGAAGCTAAGCAGGTGTGAGCCTGGTCAGTACCTGGATGGGAGACCTCCTGGGAAAAACTAAGGTTGCTGCTGGAAGAGGTGTTAGTGGGGCCAGCAGGGGGCGCTCACCCTGCAGTCCATGTGGGTCCTAATGCCCCAGTATAGTGATGGGGACACTATACTGTAAACAGGCGCCGTCCTTCGGATGAGACGTAAAACCGAGGTCCTGACTCTCTGTGGTAATTAAAAATCCCATTTATTCTGTTCTCCTCCCCACTGATAGCTGATGTGCGGTGAGCGTTCTGGCGCACTATGGCTGCCGTCGCATCATCCAGGTGGCTGCACACTAGTGGTGGTGGAGGGCAGTCCCCATTACCTGTAAAGCGCTTTGAGTAGAATGTCCAGAAAAGCGCTATATAAGTGTAAACAATTATTATTATTAATTATTAATTATTTGTGCTAAAACCACAATAAATAGAGAGATAATACTTTAGCCTGTCTCTGTAAGGTTCTACAGTCAGGTTATGGATTTAGTAGTAAAATGTTAAGCAAGACCAAGGTGCTTTCAGAACAACTCTGGGATGAAGTTGCAGAATGGAATGGAACGGAACAGAACAGAACAAGGGTATATCAAATGTTTCAAAGCTGCTGAATATCCCTTTGAGAAATATCGTGTAGGACATCATT